CACACTACGCACCCTCTTCACATTTCATTACACGACCACGTGGTCGAGGATTACGTTTGCGTTCCTATATGCGTTAATATATTAATTACGATATTAAATAAATGAAAAATATTTTTGTTTTGAAGTCAAATGTAACGAAAGAAACTATTTCGAAGTAAAGAAGTTCAAACAGTAATGAAATACAACAGCAGCATAAGTTTTTTGCAATCATAAGTGTCCAAAAACAGGAGCTATAGGAAGACGAAAGGTTAAAGAATATAAAAATAAATAATGTATCTTAAATAATTGGTGTGCAAGAGCACACAACAATGATTCATTCTAGTTTCAAATAAACGTGGTCAAGGAGAGCGTTTAACTATTATAATCATTGTTGTGTACTTTTCTAGCTAAGAAGCAAGAAATAACTTAGAATTTGTATAAAGAAGCTTTGTGAAGTATTTGGTGCATCCAGCTTCAAAATCTCGATCAATTTAATGTTCTAAGCCTGGCACTTGCAGTTCATAAAATTATGTACGGGCTAATAATTTAGGCAATAATAATAAAATAATAATAATTTAGGCAATACTCAAAACAGTTGTGTAATCAATGAAAAAATTAAATTGATTAAAAATAATAATGTTAACTGCTGTATTTCTTTACTGTTTAAACTTTTTTATTTTAAAATAAAAAATTATACCTAAACAAACTAAACCTTTGTAATGCAATAATGTAAAAGCAAAATACAGTTTCTTACATTTCGAATGTATTTAAAAGTATTTATTTTCAATTTTATTGTAGTTTTAATTGCAAATAAAATTTATTTCATAAGTTTATAAATTATATCTATGTTAAGCTGTTATTATTCTGTGTATTTTTACATCGTGGGCATCGAGTGGCAACTCATCTTCAGCCACAATTTGCTCTCGAAAAGCGAGTGCTATTAAAGTGACTTTCTTTTGCGGATAAGTATTGAAATGACGTTTTAGGTACTTATCATAATAACCCATGCCGTGACCCAGTCGTCCTCCAGCTAAGGAAAATGCTACTCCGGGCATGAGAAACAAATCGATTCCGTGACCTGAAAGTAATGTAAAATAATAACTTTATATGAAAGTTGACTGCATAAATTAAAGCACAATTTCAAAAGGAATTACTGTTAATTAAGATTAGCAAAGAAAGCTAATTCAATAATAGAATAACTAAAACATGCTGAAAAGTCTTATTGTCGATCAGTGGCGTAACTACAGGGAAGCGACTGGAAGCAACGCTTTCGGGCCCCCGAATTTAGGGGGCCCCATTATAAATTTATGTATTCATTATATTTATTTTTAATAAATTCTCAAAAGCGGGACGAAACGTTTTTTGTTGAAATATCATAAATTTTGGTTTTTGAACAAAACCTTTAAAAATTTCTTTGTGTTGACATTTAAGTGGAGCCAAGAAAAGAAAAGAGCAAAACGAACGAGAAGAAACATTAAAGAAATTACCAAAACTAGACAATTTTCTAAAAATAAATGAAAACAAAAGTGAAGAAGTAAACGATTGAAATGATGTCTTTTCTAATTGTAATACACAGAATAAATTGACCATTGTTCAAATACTGAAACAGACTTCAAAATCATTGATGAAACAATAAGCAAATCAACTGATATTGGCCACTTTATTAATGTCAAAATTACTGATGATATTAAACACTTATTAATTAATAATTCTTCCGACCATCAGAAATTACAAGGGCCATTTCCGAAGGATCCTATTCAAGAAAATAGAAGTTTCAATCCTTCATACTATAATTTAAAAACAAAATATGAAACAGAGCCACGACTTTGGTTATACTATTTAAAGTTATTGGATTCAGTATATTGTAAGCCGTGCTGGTTATTTTCTAATCAAACAAATCAATGGTGTTCTGGATTTCGGGATTGGAAAAATTTGTCAGGAAAAATAAAAATACATACATCCTACTACATACAGAATTAGTAGGCCAATTTCAATCAAATCAAATTGTGAACAGGGTCCGCTCCCGAAAAGTATGTGTGTAAAGTTTCATTCGAAGAGTTCAAAGCTGACAGAGTAGTTTGAACTGAAAAGGTATATACCTATATACATATACTGATATATACTTTGGTATTTTCGACGTTTCTTTTAATGCGTTACGAAAATCTTGACAAGGCTAATATACCCTTTTTACACTTTCTCGTGTAAAGTGTATAAAAAAATGTTAGTAACATAGGAGGCCCTTAGTTAGAATTTGCTTTTGGGCCTAAAAAATGTAGTTACGCTACTGTTGTCGATTCAAATTCTAAATTTTTCTTGAGATATAGCAGAAATTATTTATTGAACTTAACAATATATCTAAAAAACATAACAAACTTAGTGACCGCATTATAAAATTGATTTAATATAGTTTCCTAGAACTATAGCCTTTATAATTTTCCAGAACTATAACCTATATAGTTTCCTAAAACTATAACCTATATAGTTTCCTAAAACTGTAAACGATATAGTTTCCTAGAACTTTAACCTTTGTAGTTTTTCAGAACTAAAACCTATATAGTTTCCTAACCTTTATAGTTTTTCGCATACTAAGAAAATATTATGCACTACAGATGACACTTGAATGATTTGCGAACTGTGACACATCACTCATTATTCCGTAGATAATCTCAAACATTCGTCTGAGTTAACGCTCATTGCTGTTGTCGTACTACTCTATTATATAACGTTTCTTGTCTTTATCACGATCCACGAGCGGACAGGCCTGCATTTCCACGCCATTTGCTTTTTCTAAATACCAAGTGTCTTTCATTTCCGATCAGGAACATAAAAAGCCGTTTTCAATTTTATAACAAAAATTTGGAGAATATTAACACCCGATTTAGATAAAAATGGTTTTGATTATTTACGACTTAAAAGATCGCCCATGTTTTTTGCTTACCATTGGTTAGTGCGTTTTCACGTGGTTCTTTAAAATCTGGTTGCTTTATATTCCATTTAGTTAATGGTAAATTATCATAATCGTCCATATTTTTGATACGCACCATTTCCATATTATTACCACTATACGTAGGCACATAAACATGTTTGTCAAGGCGAAACATTTCCTTCAACAACTCCAAGGTATCAACTTCTGTACTTGTACTGAGGTAAACGCTGATGCGTTGGGCATGTCGAAAATCTGTAGATTGTAACACCTTAAAGAGATATAATAGAATAAAGTTGATATGAAAAATAGATCCATTAATTTGTTTTATTTACCTTTTCTTTAATAGCTTCAGACTGTTGTGCTCTACTTTCTACTGTCATTGATTTTAAAACCTCATTTTTCATGCGATTTCTTAAAGCGATCTTCAACGAGTTTCCTATGTTCGCTGTCATTTTCTGGATTTATTTTTCAGCTGTTATCAGCGACTATACGTTCTACTAAGACACAGCGAGCGTTTCACACTGACTGCGAAGAGGTGAAGCAATAACATTTAAAATGATGCTGCTAATCAATAGCTTCTGTTATCATTACCAATTGACGCTTTGATAACAAACTTTGTTAAAATATGTAAACACTTTGTATTAGTTTGCTTTGATTATTTTGTTTATTTTCATATTTATTCTAGCTGATAGTGCTGTGAATGAAGTGTGTCGGACGAAAAACACTCACTTTATGAATGCAGGTAAAGAAAATTAAATAAGTATACCAAAAAAAAAGAAATAATTTGCTGAATAATAAATAGAATTTTTGCATTTTAAAACTAAAATGCAAGTAAAGATTAAATTTACATACTAGACATATACTAGTGTGATCCAGGTCTAACCAATTACTAGAAACTTAAACAAACAAATAAATAAAATTTATATATTTTTATTGGTAATTTCAAATTTAATAACAAAACATAATTTTTTTATAATAAAAAATTTAATAACATAACAGTCTTTCTATAACATAATTTCTAAACTATTTTTTTTTTCAATGTGATAATATATTCGATCAAAAGTAATTTATTTATTACAACGTAAATTAAATTTCGCAGTATATATTTTTTACTTCTTTGACTGCTCTGTATTTGCTGGCTTATCCTTTAAGTTCTTCAGTTGCTCCTTTTGCTAGTTGACAAAGAATATAAATTAATTACAGAATTGTAGATTAAAAATAAAATTTGTGAAAATGACAAACTTACTTGCTTGTAGAAGAATTCTTCTTCACGTGCTGCTTCCATTTTACCAAAGGAACCGCCTGCCTCTCGTATGGAACCGCCACCACCACCTCCTTTGCCAGCACCGCTGCCTAACTCACCAATTTGTGACATTTTGAAATGCCTAAAATATTTATTTAGGTCAATTATATATATAAAAACTAATTTATTATGTAATATTTCAAAAAATTTTCAAAATCTTCAAGAAAATCTTAATGAACTCACTGTATATTTTTAGGATATAAGCGCGTGATCAAACGTTTTAACATAATAAAAAAATTTCCCACTTTCCAAAAGCTTTTATAAGGAAAATTCTCTTTCCAATTTCATCAATTTTTTAAAGTATTTCGTTGTTTTCCAAATTGCTATACTTATTCACTTGTTTATTTTTAAATTACTCCGCAGTCTAATTTTATTTTTTATTTTGCTAACATAATTCGTGTCATCATAAGTCAAATAAGCAAAAAAGTATTGCCAGCATAAAAAAATTTATTTGATTTTATTAATAAATAACGACGGTGTAAACATGCTATGAATAATACTAAGAAAATCGTTGAAACATAAAAAAAAAACTTCATAGCTGTTTTCTTAATGTTGTTTTTATTCGTACATATAACTGATCTGTGTATATCTGATATTAACGTACATATATCAGAGATCTTTTTTGCTGTATATTTTATTTAAAGATAGAAACACTTTATTACGGTCCAAACAAAAAATTTTTATTTCATCCAAATCCATCACAGCTACCGAAAGCGAATGATATACATATCCAATTAAATATATGTATTGAATTTAATTCGTATGCATATTAATTTTAATACATATATAAAAATGGTATATATGTAAATACATTTCAAAAACAGGACATTTTAAATAGACAGTAATTTTGTAACAACTAAATTCCATTCCATTGGATTTAATTCATATGTATAATGACCATCAAATATATATATATATATATACATATATATATATACATTCATGAATATATATATTACAACAACTTTTCTTGTGGACATATAATTTGGAACGAACAAACTCCAAACCCATCGCTTCTTCGTCATTAAAAACACACAATACTTATATCAAATTATATATATGCATTAAATTTAATTTTGTTGTGTATTAAATTTAATACATATACATATATTTAATATTATATTGTATGTATTTTTAATAGTTTTCATTTATGGAGGTTATGATAGTTTATCTTTGGAATCATCATCGGCGCTTAAAGCATCACCTTCATTACAATGTGATTCTCGCAACTTCTCCAACTTTTTCTTCGTCATGGACTTTTTGCATTCATTTTGCTTTAAACAATTGAAATAAATTATTAAAATAATATTTTAAATTTGAAATACTATTACCAACCTCGGTTAGGAAGAATGCTTCCTCTTGCAGTATCTTATGTTTGTTGCGGTAGGTGGATTCAGAACAGGTATTGCCACCATTTAAGCACCTTTCATATTCTCTCCAATCCGTTGGCGTCTTTACTATGCATCCGTCTTTGTTGATTTTGCGAAACTGATTGATGCTCTGTTCATTAAAGTACGCGTCTTCATTACGATTGCTATGTGAGTTTCCTACACCTCCAACAGCTGGTCCCATGAAACGATTATAATAGCTAAGGCAGCGTTTACTGGAAATAAATAAGCTTGTTTTAATTTCACATTATCATAAAGGAACAGTCGATATAAGTAGACCCTATAGTTCTAGTAATTGTTATATTAATCCTATTCAAATTTGTTTCTAAACCGTTACACATAAAAAATTCTGATTTTTTAATAAAAATAGAGAGTGAACAGACAAAAAACAGACCTCTATAAAAAGCAATTAAATATAGCCTAAGACTACGTTATATGGTAATCGGCATCTATTATTGAATACCAAATTGTAATAGAATTTAATGACACTATAATGAGATGAACAGTTTTTCTTTGAGCAGAACTTATTTTGGTACGGTTAACAGATTAAGAAATACATGCCGGAAAAACAAAGCTGTACATTTTTTTTTATGATGTTTAGGTTAGTGAGTGATTGAGTCACTTTGTGTTTGGCTCATGCTCATAGCATGAAGGACGGGAAAGCAACGAAGGGCTTATTATCGCATTAAACGATGAGTCCAATGTCAATTAATTAAAGCAGAGCTATTTTATATTTTTAAAAAAGTACACATTGTTCAAAAATAATGATTCGTCAATCAATTCAAATCAGCTGCAAACAGTTTTCAGCACTGAGCAGAG